AAAAAGGCAGCTAGGCACAGTGGCTCACGCCTGTAATCCCACCACTTTGGGAGGCCAAGGCAGGTGGATCACCTGAGGTCAAGAGTTTGAGACACGCCTGGCCAACATGGTGAAATTCTGTCTACAAAAAAATACAAAAATTAGCCGGGCGTGGTGGCGGGCGCCTGTAATCCCAACTACTCGGGAGGCTGAGGCAGCAGAATTGCTTGAACCCAGGAGGTGGAGGTTGCAGTGAGCCGAGATTGTGTCACTTCACTCCAGCCTGGGTGAAACAGTGAGACTCCATCTCAAAAAAGAAAAAGCAAAAATTAGCCAGTGGGGTGGAGCATTCCTGTATATCCAGCTACTGGAGAGACTGAGGCCCCGTCTCCAGAAAAAGAAAAGCAAGCCCAGCTCCCCATTTAGCTTAGCTGGATGAGCTCAACTGAGCCCAGCTCAGATGGAGGAGCTGAGGTGGGAAGTGTCTTGTGTTGCTGACTCCAGGTCATGGCTGTTCACCAGATCATGGCTGGAGGCTCTGGGGAGGGGAGGGAAGGGGTGTGCTGAGGGTGAGGTTGGACCAGGGACAGGCAGGACCAGCACCTTCTCCACACCACCGGCGGCCACCACATGGTTGTCCTTCACCATCACCAGTCCTCCCAGGTCGTATCGGTGTGAGGCGGCCCCGCCCACCAGGAGCCCGTACTTCTCCACCAGCCGGAAGCCTGGTGTGGTCTTCCTCGTGCCGGCCACGTGCCCAGTCCAGCCGGCCCCCCTGGCAGCCTCCACTGCAGCGGCGGCAGCACTGGCAATGCCACTGCAGCGGGCCAGCGTGTTGAGGGCCACCCGTTCCCCCAGCAGCAGGCTGTGGGCAGGGCCCCGGACCTCAGCCACTCTGGCCACCGGCACCAGCTTCGATCCCTCAGGGAGGAACCAGGAGACTTGGCAGTTGAGTTGGGTAAAGATGGCATCGAAAAAAGGCCGCCCTGCCAGTACCCCAGGGGATTTGGCCCACAGCACCGCCTGCGAGGGGCCTGCCCCACTGACCAAGGCTGCGTAGTTGAGCCCTGGGCAGTCCTCTCGGAGCCAGCTGTCCACCAGGGCTGCCAGGGTGACGGGCGGCAGCAGCAGTGCCAGGCCTGGAGGGAAACAGAGAACAGCTGTTGAGTTTGGCTGCCTCTCCTGCTGTCAGGGATCATTGTCAAAATATTTAACAACCAGTGAAACTGGGCACTGGCCCATCAGCCTCAAGATCTAGGGGTTCCAGTGGAGGGGCTGCAGTGAGGAAAGGGGGTGTGGGGGG